ACAGTTCCAGTTTCAGCAGGAACTGAATCCGACATTACTTATTTATTATATATGATATTATGTTATGTTATATTATATGTTATCACGTTGTAGTAGCGTATATCATGTTATATGCTATTAGGTTTTATCGTTCTACATTGCATTGTGTACTTTTACTGGAGGAATCTGTATTGTCATCCTCCTCCTCCTCCTCTTCTTCTTCTTCTTCTTCCTCCTCCTCCTCCCCCTTAATTAATATGAATTGATTTACTGTATTTAATAAAGACAAAAGAGGTTTTCTAAAACACTTACACTAAAAGTACCTCAGAAATGTACTAAGTTTCTTTCCAGCAGTGAAAGCTTGTACACCTTTCACAAACTTGTGAAAGGTGTACAACTGTCATTGTGTTCCTAAAAATATGTACAATGAATCCGAATCAATTTCTAATTATTCAAGATGTTCACACTCATATTTACAACTTATCTTACTGCTTGTGGGACTATTCTTGATTACAACCTCACTGATCTGGAATCAGCTGTCACTTTACTAAAGGAAGTTATGAAACATTCTTTTAGGAGATTAATAAAGTGGTAACTGAGGAGGTGGAGATAGTTAGAGCTGCTGGTAATGATGTTTTAATGATTGAGAACAACTGGAAATAATATAAATCTTGTCAGAGGTTGTTCTGAATCGTTCATATTATTGATTTGACATTGTTTATGGACTAAATTTATTCATTCCAATAGAACAGTGAAGCTTCTGAAACAGCAGTTTGGACATTTATACATGAAGAAAGATCCTTTGTTTTATACCAGTATGAGTTTGAAGTATTTGAAGTATTTCTGTGGGACAAACAAAACAAAAGAAAGCTTTTCTGCTGAGTGGGACCAACCCGCCGCCCCAGGGCGCGGCCTCACGGGGCCGTTTAACAGACGGGGACAGACGGACACGGGAGACGGACCTGAGAGACACAAGAGACGGACACGGGAGACGGACACGAGAGACGGACACGAGAGACGGACACGAGAGACGGACACGAGAGACGGACACGGGAGACGGACCGGAGAGACAAACAGCAGCAGGAAAGATGAGAGAGATAGTTCACATCCAGGCCGGACAGTGCGGGAACCAGATTGGAACCAAAGTAAGTCAAATATCCACCCAGACGTTAATATACTTAATATAATAAAACCTACCGGATTGAACACAACTTTATCAAGAATATTGCATGATAACTATCACATATTATTTATATAAGTCTGTATTTAATGAGGATCGATGGTCGGATCAATAATCACCTGGAAATTGCACTTTCTTGTTTCTCGTTCTCCTGAGTTTGTACCCTATGGTTGAATGCACTTATTGTACGTCGCTTTGGATAAAAGCGTCAGCTAAATGACATGTGATGTAATGTAATGTAATGTAATATGAGTCACTAAACACAATATACACTCAGATTATTAATAAATCATCACTCACGTTCATCTGTGCGGGGCGGGGCTACACGCTGATTGACAGTCTCTAGTCCTCCTCTGAGTCCTTCAACGTTTCAGTAAACGCACCACACAGCCAGGAAGTCATGTGACCTCTTCTTCTTCTCTTGTTAGTTTTGGGAGGTGATCAGTGACGAGCACGGCATCGACCCGGCGGGCTGCTACGCAGGCGACTCGTCTCTGCAGCTGGACCGAGTCGACGTCTACTACAATGAGGCGTCCTGTAAGGGGGACGAGGACGTCTTAATCAGTACCAGAGAGTCGTATTCATCCTCCGCTTCATTCCATTCTTTCAAATTGATAAAAACTGTTTATTTGTTGGAATTAGTTTTAATCTAGTTTTTTAAATCATATCATTTAATTATTAAACAACAAATTACACTGTTGGGAAAAATACTTTTCAACTTTTCAAATGTGACCCATGAATAAATATTAATATTATTGTATGCATAGATGAAAGAGCATATTGGTTAGAAGACTAATTGACTATTGATTAATTTGATTGATCCACCACAGAGATTATTTTCAGAGAGTTCAAATCCAGACACAGTGACAAAATGTCGAAGCTTTGACCCAAAACCCAAAATTGATCAATATAAAGTCACCAAATAATCCCTTTTTATAGGTATTTAAATAGTATCTAAACAAACCTGTGATGCCTTCAAGGACAGTTGGATTAGTTGGTTATTTCTGGTGTGCTTGGTGCAGCACATAAATACGTCCCCCGCGCTGTGCTGGTGGACCTGGAACCAGGAACCATGGACAGCGTCCGCTCGGGAGCCTTCGGACAACTCTTCAGACCGGACAACTTCATCTTTGGTAAGATCATAAGATTCATCTTCAACCCCTGAGGTCCAAAAAGACCTGCAGATGCCCTCATGAGGACACCATGGAGACCATTTTATATGATCTGTTCATGCACATGTTGCCTCCCTTTGTGTCCAAATTTAACTCGGTTCAATCAACCAATGTACTTATTTAATAATCACGTTTCTCATTAATGATTAAAAATTGCTGCGTTTTATTCCATAGTAGTTAGATTTAAGGAAAGAAAAGTAGATTTTTGCGTTGTTTTGGATTCGATCCTGGAGGAACCTCGCGGTGCCCCAGAGGCTCAGACCAGGACGGGAAGCAGGAGGCCTCAAACATCTCCCTCCTCTCCCCCCATTGGCTGTCCTCAGGTCAGACGGGCGCAGGGAACAACTGGGCCAAAGGTCACTACACGGAGGGGGCGGAGCTTGTGGATTCGGTCCTGGACGTCGTGAGGAAGGAGTGCGAGCACTGCGACTGTCTGCAGGTGAGCAGCACTTTCCTCTTCTTTTTATTACGCGTCGGCCCCTTAAAGGTCAAACGACTTCAATCTCAGTGGTTCCACCCGCAGGGGTTCCAGCTGACTCACTCCCTGGGCGGGGGCACCGGCTCGGGTCTGGGAACCCTGCTGATCAGCAAGATGCGGGAGGAGTACCCGGACCGGATCATGAACACCTTCAGCGTCATGCCCTCGCCCAAGGTACCACGCTTCTGTCCCGCTTCTGTTCGCTCCGACCGGTGAGCGAGGCTCTCTGATGAATGTTAACAGCCCCCCCGCCACTGACCTATGACCCCCATCACCCCGCCAGGTGTCGGACACCGTGGTGGAGCCCTACAACGCCACCCTGTCCGTCCACCAGCTGGTGGAGAACACGGACGAGACCTACTGCATCGACAACGAGGCTCTCTACGACATCTGCTTCCGCACGCTCAAGCTGACCACGCCCACCTACGGCGACCTCAACCACCTGGTGTCGGCCACCATGAGCGGCGTGACCACCTCGCTGCGTTTCCCCGGCCAGCTCAACGCGGATCTCCGCAAGCTGGCGGTGAACATGGTGCCGTTCCCCCGGCTGCACTTCTTCATGCCGGGCTTCGCCCCCCTGACGGCGAGAGGCAGCCAGCAGTACCGAGCGCTCAGCGTCCCCGAGCTCACGCAGCAGATGTTCGACGCCAGGAACATGATGGCGGCATGCGACCCGCGGCACGGGCGCTACCTGACCGTGGCCGCGGTCTTCCGCGGGCCGATGTCCATGAAGGAGGTGGACGAGCAGATGCTGAACGTGCAGAACAAGAACAGCAGCTACTTCGTGGAGTGGATCCCCAACAACGTGAAGGTGGCGGTCTGCGACATCGCCCCTCGCGGACTCAAGATGGCCGCCACCTTCATCGGCAACAGCACGGCCATCCAGGAGCTTTTCAAGAGGATCTCGGAGCAGTTCTCAGCCATGTTCGGCGGAGGCCTTCTTCACTGG